ATGACCATGAGAGGGCCCATTTGTGCGACTGTTTCGGCTTTGCCACCTTTGCAGCCTATAATTCATAGGCTATTGTACAAATGATACCAACTCCATCTAAGAAAATTCTTCGGCTTCTATATAAAGGCTGATGGGCATGTGCAGAAACTCCAATGGCGGTATGTGCTTTTCTAGTTTTCTAGGTGTGGTTTGAACCCTGTTTTAGACCCTGGAAGCCTATAAATTTCAGTCTGCCTGGTACTTTCACTCTCATCGCTATAATAATAGCTTAGATCCTTTTAACACCGCCAAAAACTGAAAACCTTGACCCAAGGCCAAGGGCCAGAGCCTCCGTCTGTCACACACGCCCACATAAACAAAATATGAGATCAGCGATGCCTCCTGTTACAAAGGGCATGTGCCCTCCTAGTGAAGATGACAGTGAGCTGAGAAGAGGGCCATGGACCCTTGAAGAGGATACTCTCCTAACCCATTACATTGCTCGCCATGGGGAAGGTCGTTGGAATATGTTGGCAAAATGTGCAGGTACCAAAACAGTAATCATTTTATTGAACAAGTGGAATTAATTGGTGTTCACCAATCTTTACTCTTTTTCTTCAGTTGTATCCTGTATTGTCATTGATCCACCTTTAACTTGTCAGGTCTCAGGAGAACTGGTAAAAGTTGCAGATTGAGGTGGCTGAATTATTTAAAACCTGACATTAAGCGCGGAAACCTGACGCCTCAGGAGCAGCTCTTGATCCTTGAACTTCATTCCAAGTGGGGAAACAGGTAGTTTATCTGATTGTATTAACATTTGATTTAACATATTTATATTGGTGCATTTTTGTGTTTATCATTGTTTATTAATGACCAGACATTTCTCCCAAATTTTGTTTCTTCTCTAGGTGGTCAAAAATTGCACAACATCTTCCAGGAAGAACAGATAATGAAATCAAGAACTACTGGAGAACAAGGGTGCAGAAACAGGCACGCCAACTTAATATTGAGTCTAACAGCAAGAAATTCCTTGAAGCAGTTCGATGTTTTTGGATGCCAACATTGCTTCAAAAAGTGGAGCAGACATCCTCTTCTTCTTCTCTGAAAGAAATGAGCTCCCAAAACTCGGCTCCTTCTGATCAGTTATTGGACTGCGCCATCCCTTCATTGTCAACATTTTCCCCACTTCCAAACAAAATCACAGACAGATCAAATCACTCCTTTGAAAATTCAAGTTCAGTCACTAGCCAAAGTCTTTATCCCACAGATTTCATCAACACTTCAGAGCAGACTGAAATTCCTGAACACCTAACAAGTCCAAATGTATATGGCCATGCTACTGTCTACAACAATAACCAAATTGTTAACGCAAGTTACAATATTGACAGCAGTGGCTATGACATGGAGGGTTTCAGCCTGGCATCCATGTCAGCCGTGGGCTCCTACGAAGGATCGCCATCGGAATGCCAGATGGGCGAAGGCAATTGGATCTGTAATGAGATGACAGATACTTTATGGAACATGGATGACATATGGCAGTTCAGGGAGTTGGGAGAGTAGGGCAACTAGCCAGGGGCCGGGGAACTTAAAGTCTAATGATCCTGGAAATCGAAAGGCTCCACCCCACATGTCAATTTGACTGAGAAATCATGCTGATCCACATCGGAATCAATGGTGTGTGAAAGTTTAATACTGTGCAAATATGACCCATCGTCATAAGGAGAAAGTGATTTTCGTGGAGAATTTATCCATGTAGTATGTACTACTGCTATTGTTTTTACAGTTGGAAAGCACTGTATATTGATTAAGACTTATCTTTTCTTATATGGATATTATGATCAAAATTTTCTAGTAGGAAATCAAATCGATTGCTCCTTGACCCATCCAACGCTATAACTAAAAGATAGGAGGAGAAGAATTTCAATGGTGTAGTCAATTCGAGGAAATGATGGACAGAAATGACAACTTATAAGATCAAGAGTGGAGTCACATCTAATTTTTTTCGAGACAATTATATGCTAGTTAGGACTCGGGAAAACTACAACCGGAAGGGTTTGGGGTTTGGAGTGGGAATAGTCGTTTGTTTTCCTCCCTTTTTTACGTAAAAAGGGTGTGGGAATAGTTAAATTCGGTTCTTTGACAAATATAAAGTCCCAAGCACTCTCGTCGCCTTTAACAGGAGATAAAGTGGAAAAAAGTTATACTACTATTTTCCAATAATTGTGGAGAAATTAGTATCCTAATTAAGTAAAGAGATGATTGGCTTCTACCAACAAAATAATTTTAGATTGGCTTTGCACAACACGACAATGAAAGGATTAATCCGAACCTAAGTTTGGTACCGACTTGAATTACATGTAAAAGTCAAGAAAAGGAAAGAGTAATAATGTCTTTTATCTCTTTTGGACCTATTTTGGGTTAATTATGGCTCATATCAAAAGGTATCACACTCTTCCAAGCAATATGCAACTTATCTGCCTCTCCAAAATTTACACCACTACTGCCACAGATACTGTCGTCACTCATAGCTCAAACATATAAACCCAAAAGAAAAGAAAAAATGGGGGGCAAGGAGAATTTATGGAGTTTTTAAGACCAAGCTAAAATAGATGACAAATTTTTGTCTTAATGTCAATTCCATCTTAATAATTATTGAAGTTTGAAACTTTTAAGTTTTAAGTTACTTAGAATTCTAAATCTTGTTTTATTAATATTTTTATTTGTGTACAACATTAAATAGTTATATAATTTTAAACTTTTTATCCACAATTAGTGTTAACTGGGCTTTTATTTTATAAGAGTGGGTTTTCAAAGTTTAGAAGAGTGAGTAGTGACTTAGGAGACGAAACACCTTGTTATCGAGTAATGTTGGTGAATATTCTAGATTTTATTTTGATTGTTTCTCAGATAATTTTCATAACAAAAATAATTATACTACCTATTATTATGTCAGGTTGGGCTGACAATATATTAGATCAAAATTTCCTGCATATAGACTATAATGCAATTCGTATAGCAACAAAAACTAAATTGAATAATATGCAAGGTAGCTTCTTCTTCATGCACTTCACTTGAATGTTTAACTCTACCTGAATTCGTCAAGACCTAAAATCTTATTTATTTTTTTAATTTCTTCAGAAGGAGCTGTATAGTTACCCACTGGTTGCACTGTTATGATACCTTCTTTCGGCCTTTTGACTAAAATCAAGTCCAACTGTAACATCTACACTCTCTTACCCTGTTGTGTTCAACCCATGCTTAATCAACGGGGAAATGTGTTGAACAACTAGATACAGCTAAAGCATAAATAGTATTTGCCGCCTTGCAAACGTTAGGACAATTTCTGAGGTAGATGAAGCCACAGAAGCAGATTTTGTTGCCTTGTTAAATCAAATTATTTATAATATATGATGAAGAGATTGCTGCAGAGATGACTATGACTAAGAGAGGAAGACTAATACCACTTGAAATGACACCGTTGCTCTCTGAAAAGTCTAACTTAATTAATTAATGGACTGCTCTTACTAATAAATATTCAACCTAACGCCTCCTTTGTCCACAAGTTTTTTTTTCTTTTTCTTTACAAATTCATTTTTCATTGTTCAATAGAATTTGTAACCTTAATGCCATCATCTCATAAACCCCTGTCAATTTCTTCGCAAAACCCTTGTACAGTTTTTAAACTTATAGAAAAAGAGTAAATTAAATAAACGTATATTTACATTTAAACAAGATCAAGATATTAGGAAATACAGAAGAATGTGTTTAATCTTTGAAATTTAACCATGAGATATATCTTATAAAGTAATAATGAAAATTTTAAATTTCACGAACGAATTTAAACAATTATCACATGTCCACCTATTTATAGTTAATTATAGAAATTAATAAATTTTATAATATTCATCTTTTGTTAAACATGAAATCCTGATCCGTCCGTGGGTGATGGAATTACCTACTGATTGGTGAAGGGAATTGTGAAGTGAGAATCCTATCCTAAAGAGAAGATGCTCTATAAAGGGTCAAAAAGAAAAAGTGGAACATAGTGAGGGTTAAGGATTGTCGTACGGGGAAAAAAAGATACATGCATCGATCACCTTTTTAATCAAATTCAAATGGTCTAATGTTTTAAGAGTTAGCATTATCAAATTAAAATGGTGTTGGAAAAGACAGAACAAATCCACAATAGTGTTGCTTAAATATCATTGATGGAGCTAATTTGCTGATTTCAGGAACTGTATGACAAAGCACGATCTCAAATTCTTCATGGTATAAATGAAAAAGAGGAATGAGAGACTGAGCGAGTGACAGGGTAAGGTGTAGGACGATGAGGAAAATATAGGCAAGGATCTAGGAAGGAAGAAAAAAGAGTTACCACCAAATCCAATCTCTTGTCTCTGCACAGGCTGATATCAAAGCTAAAATGAGAATCAAGCGTGGTGGTCCTTAGATTCACTATATCAGTATCCTATTCTGACAAAATTCCGTATGAAACATATTTTTTTGGTTTGCCAGCCCCAGGCCCAGCCGTACTCAAATCACAAGCTTACGCGTAGGGGGAAAAGCCAGGGCATAAGCATGTGGCCGTAATAACCGTGGCAAATGCAAAATGCAAAGCAAAGGTTTTGTTTTCTTTTCATCCATTCATGTGATGTGAAGCAGGAATTTAGTAGAAAAGCTTTTGATACTCATTCTATCTTTCAAGCTTCAATCAAATCACCAGCTTTCGCTTTCGCAAATAAGCGTGAAGAGACTAAACTCTCTCAAGGAATAGAGACTGCGTGCCTCTTCTCTTTATTTGCTTTCTTAAGGAAGAGTTATTGGTTTCACTCTCATTGGTCCTTTTTAAACCCTCAAATTCCCACCACAGCAGATCCACAGAAGGGCCGAAAACGAATTCAAAGCCATGATGCATGAACTGAACCTTTTTCAATAGTGGTAGGTCCAATGAAGTGAAAAGAGTACCTCTCACTCAAGGAACACTGTAACAGTTCTGACCCTGGCAACAAGAGACCTCAGTACAAGCTATTTTCACTATCATTCATGTCTCTTCATCTCAAGTGTATATTTGAACGGATAATGCCTCTTGGACTAACGATTGATGTCCCTACTATAGCAAAATATACAAATTGCAATCAGAAATCGAAGTATGCTGCAATCAAGGTATATGGGCATGGCTTAACTAACCATCTATCTGTAAAGAACATTGTCAAGTCCAAATCATATTTCGAGAGAGAAAAGGTCAAAGTACCTAATAGGTTCCTTATTATAAATTTTTCATCAATTGAATCCCTTTATTTAAAATTTATTAATTTAGTCCCTGTATTTTAAAATTTTTAAATTTATGATTTTAGATTTAGATAAATTAAGATAGATTTTGAAAAAAAAAAAAACCTAATCTGTTTAAAAAGAAAGAAAGTGAAAAAAATAAATTTTTTAGTATTTTATTAGATTTTCTGACCACATGTGGCCAGTGGGCCGATGGCAACAAGGATCGAAAGTTTGAATCTAGGCTTGGGGGCTGGAATGTACGGAGAGGAGGGCTAGGTAAAGAAAGAGAAGAGCTAGAGAGAGAAGCAAAGAAGGAAAAAATTAAAAAACAAAAAAAGGAAAATGAAAAACAAGGTGGCCATTTTCTTTTTCTTTTTTTTGGTTTGACACATCAATGCTACATCATCATCCTTTGAAATGTTAATATTATTAATAGGTAATTTGGATAGAGTTAGATGAAGAGATTTAATTGCACAAAATCTTAGAGTATAGGAATTAAGTTAATTAGTTTTGAGATAAAGAGATTAAATTGATGAAAAATCTATAATATAAGAGAATATGAGATACTTTGACTAGAAAAGAAACAGAAGAGGCTTTGCTTAATGTATGCCAAGGAAAGGTGATTTTCTGATCATCATCTAATTTCTTTGACAAAGCATGCAATTTGTAATACAACTAAACCAAATGCAACGTGTGTTTAAGTTTAACCTATTTCCCTCAACATTGAGTAAGGAGTAAGACCTCAGAAATTAAGTTCTAAAAGGCAACTATCAAATATAAACATATGCTTCTATCACTCTTGTATTCCCAATCTCAAGTGGTATATATATGACATAATGCTTAAAAAAATTTTAAATAAATTCTTATTTTTTCTAAAACGTTCAACTAAAAGTTTTATATTTTTATTTTAGATCAAATAAATTTTTACAATTAATAATTAAGTAATTATCATTAATCAAAATATCACTTAACCTTTTTTTACCCACATATTGATGTGATATTAACATAATAATGACATACAAGATGAAAACACCACACGATTATGTCATCATAATATACCGCATTATTATTCATTCTAACATGTTAATATCTCATGTCAACTTCACGTGACATATAATAACGAGTGACATTTTAATGAACAACAGTTAATCAATCATTAATTATAAAAACTAATTTGATTTAAAATAACAAAAAAATTGATTAAAGACAATGATAAAAATAAAAATTTATTTAAATTTTTTAAATATTATGCACATGTTTATGTGTATGTGTGTGAATTTGTGTGTATATATATACACAAGAACAAAAGATACATATATACAACTGTGATGAACTCATTCACTCAAGTAAACTATATATATATATATATATATATATTTCTATCAAAAAGCCAACTAGATATCTTTTGTAAAAGATAACGTCTTCGTAACTGGATTTTTCATGTGTGATTCACGGGGTGAGAACCTATTTCCCACTATTACCATCCGTATCCTTAAGCGTAATTGTACGGTTAAAGACAAGTTTTTCTGCAATTGAATCCTTGTCAATAGTAAAATAGCCTGAAATTGCATAACAAGTAATGA